GTGCTTATAGCTCCCATCGAGTGTATCCATGAGGTGCCAGCTTTAAAAAAAAACCCAGCCTCAGAACTCACCAATGCTGCTCACGGGACATGGGCCAGAGTTCATGGCAGGCCTCCCTCATGGCCACGTGCCTGGAAATGCAGAACCAGATATGGAATGGGAGATGAAGAAGCCAACCCCAGATGGGAACTCTTTAGAAAATCGAATCTATGGCCCTGTTCATTCGTGATTCCCAGCTCTGGTTTGTGGCACTTGCTTCAGGCACTATTCACAAGAGACTTTTAGGCTATTCCTCAGTTTCTTTGCAAAGGGCTTTAACTGAAAACACATTTCTATGCCACATTTCTATTCCACAAAAAAGCAATCCAGCCAGGGCTGTGGCTCCCCAAAGACTAGAAGTTGTTTTCATAAGGCCATTAAGTTGCAGGTAAAATGACTGACTGTGGATGCATCACAATGTCTGTGCCTGGGTTGTGTAGATGTGTCTTCTGCATTCGGATCTTTGCGATTCTCTCCTTGGGCGTGAAGAGCTGGACTAATCAGCAGAATCCCAAAAAGAAATAATGAAAACAATAATCCCAGCACTTTGGGAAGACAAGGTCAGCAGATCACCTGAGGTTAGGAGTTCAAGACCAGCCTGGCCAACATGATGAAACCCCATCTCCACTAAAAAGACAAAAATTAGGCCAGGCACGGTAGCTTATGCCTGTAATTCCAGCATTTTTGGAGGCTGATGAGGGGAGATCACCTGAGGTTGGGAGTTCAAGACCAGCCTGACCAACATGGAGAAACCTGGTCTCTACTAAAAATACAAAAATTAGCCAGGTGTGGTGGCGTATGCTTGTAGTCCTAGCTACTTGGGAGGTTGAGGCAGAAGAATCTCTTGAACCCAGGAGGCAGAGGTTGCAGTGAGCCAAGATCATTCCATTGCACTCCAGCCTGGGCAACCAGAGCGAAACTCCATCTCAAAAAGAAAATTAGCTGGGCATGGTGGCGGGCACCTGTAGTCCCAGCTACTCAGGAGGCTGAGGCAGGAGAATCACTTGAAACTGGAAGAAGGTTACAGTGAGCCAAGATCTCACCACTGCACTCCAGCCTGGGCAACACAGCAAGACTCCATCTCAAAAAAAAAAAAAAAAAGAGAGAGAGAGAGAAATAATAAAAACAAACAGAAGACTGGCCTTTGGCTTTTATATTAATAATAAACACCAAGACCTACTTTTCCAGCACTATGCATCTTAGCCCTCATACAAATCTGTCCAGATCACCACCACTGTCATCACTTGTTAGCTGAAGAAACAAAGACTCAGAGAGATGAAGGAATTACCCCAGGACACACAGCGAGAGAGTCAGATGTGGGATCCTCCAAGCTCAGATTCACTCTACTGCTCCCGGCTGCTTCCTTTCTTGAAATCCTGCATCCAGATGCAAGGCCCTCTGACCCCACATGAATCCACATCATCGGAGGGAAAAAAATGAACCTTTAATATCTGAAATGAAAAGCCATCTCCTATAAAAATTGCTTTCTACAATGAGCCCGTCCAAGACCACCACCAATAGTGGAACAACTGCCCCATTCTGAAGAGCTCTGTGCTAAGACTCCACAGTTGGCAAATGATTCTGTAGTGGGCTAAATGGTGACACCCCCCCCCTCAAAATATATATCCATGTCCTAATCCTGTTGAAACTTGTGTTGCTTTATATGGCAAAATATGTGATTAAGTTAAAGATCTAAAGAAAAGGGATATTTATCCAGGATTATCTAGGTAGGCCCTAAATACGAAACATGTATCCTTGTAAGAACAGGGCAGAGGAAGCTTTGGAACTGACAGAGGAGAACACGATGTGAAGAAGCAGAGACTGGAGTGATGTGGCTTCAATCCTCGGAACGCCAAGGATTACAGGCAGCCACTGGAAGCTGAAACAGACACAGAACAGATGAGCCTCCAGAGCCTTGGAGGAAGCTTGGCCCTGCCACCACTTTGATTTCAGACTTGGTTTCCAAGGCTGTGCAAGAGCAAATTTTTGTTGTTTGAAACCACCACATTTGTGGTGATTCATTACGGCAGCCACAGGAAACATAAGCCCTAGTAATATGCAAACATTGTTGGCTAAGCCCCATTAGAGGCTGAACGTGACATGGCTCCTTGAGTGAGAGTTATAGTTTCCCAGATATTGTTTCAGGGTCTTTTGGTAACGGAAAACCCATAGATCGACTCTTACAGATGAAATTAGAAGATGCTCAGTTTGAAAAGAAACTCTTAAGGTAAGAAGAAATCAGACAGAGAGAGGAAGTGCTAAAGAGCAAAGACTTGGCTGGGCATTTGGGAACCTGGAACTTGGGCTGCTGAGGACACAAGTCTGGGAGAAAGAAAGTTCTGTCTTGGGTGGAGAGATCCTTCAAGTAGCAATGACATGTTGTAAGGCAGGCAAGCATGTGACTTGGTGACCAGTATTTTGAATTTTAGAGAGATTGGCACTCTGGCTGGGTGACAGCACAGGGACTGCCCCCTGCCTTTCTTCTGGCCTTTGTAACAAGGGTACTGAGTGACATTCCAGCGTGGCCAAAAGGACGAAGTTGGTCACCACCACCCTGAAAGTTGTGAGAACACAAAATTTGGAAGCCTCATGGAAAGTTTCCATTTTGCTGCTTCTCACAATATGGCTGTTGAGTTGGCCAACCTCTTTCCTTCAAAACATACATATTGAGCACCCCACTATGTGCCTGGCACTAAACCAAGACCCCAGCATACAGCAATGAACACAAAAGGCACAATCCTCTCATCTTGGAGGCCTCTCCAGAAAGATGGATTTCAACTAGAAGTAATTTTGCCCTCCAGGGGACATCTGGCAATGCCTGGAGAGGTTTCTGGCTGTCATGACTGGGGGGTAGGGGATGGGGGGATGAGGGAGCAGGGGTGACAGGTTATCTTGTGGGTGGAGGCCAGGGGTGTTAACATCCTACAATGCAGGTCAGGCCCCTACAACTAACAATTATCTGGCTCAAAATGTCATGAGTGCTGAGGTTGAGAAACACCGTGTGACTGGAGTGACCTAAGCAGATGACAGCCACTTTCGAGATGGTAGTTAGCGGGTCAAAGGTGACCAAAAGACAGAGGCCTGGAAGAGCACACGGGAGGTAGATGATCAACGCTTGAGGGTTTGGGACCATTTCCCCAACAAAGGGATGTCTTCCCTGAGACCTGAAGCATAAGGGAAGTTTTCCAGGCAGGAAGAGCAAAAATGCTTTTAGGTAAGCTTAACTCCAGAGTCTGGCTAGAGAGGAAAGCGAGTGAGCCAGTGTGTGAGGCAGAGGAGGTGGAGGAAAGAAGGAAATCCTCTGAAAGGACCATTCCCTCACTTCTGTTTTGGAGGGACGGGCCATCTTCATTACATGAGGCAGCAAACTTAGTGTTAGGAGCAGAGGCCCAGAGACAGATCTGAATTTAAATCCCAGCCCCACCACCTCCTGTGTGGCCTTGGACAGGACACCTAAAACTCTCAGTTCCTAAATCCATTTTCAGAAAATGAAGCCAAGGGCAGTGAGGGAGAAGAATGTCTACCTTAGGAGGCAGTGTCAGGGTTAAATGAGAAAACGCACAGAAGTGGCTTGGCACACTGCCACAAATAACAGATACTGTTCTTGCTTGTGTTTTCAAAGGTCACTTGGCCCAGTGTGCAAAATAAAATGAGGAAGGACAACCAGAAACACTCCTCCCTGGGAATACAGAGCAAAGCAAAAACAAAATGCCGGGATTTTACAGAACAAAAACTTGCTAGAGGAAAGCAATTTCCGAGGGGCTTTAAAGTCCTTGATGCGACACGGTGGTCACCTTAAGTAAGCACAACGGCAACATGAACAGTCCCGTGCCCATTGAATCATCATCCTTTGAAGGTATAGATGTCCTAGATAAATGGAACACTGTGTCCATCTATCCAGCTAGTCAGCAAGAGAAATGAAGTCCAGGGGAAACCTTAGGAAGATCTGTATTGTGGCCCCTGCTTAGTGATGGTGATGAACTTGCGCTCTTACAAGTTTTGGTACAGCCAGAAAACTTGGATCCCACATACGGCAAGACCCTTCCACACACACCTTTCAACTTGACCTAATTTCCTAAAAAGCTGCTTACTCAATCATCGCTCACTGCTAGAGAAAGTGCAGTTTGACATCGTTGCATCTCTTGGAAGTTAGCTGCTTTCATGTCCATGACCCTTAACTGGTAACAATGTGCTTTCTTTTCTTTTTTTGAGACAGAGTCTTGCTCTGTTGCCAGGCTGGAGTACAATGGCATGATCTCAGCTCACCGCAATCTCCGCCTTCCAGGTCCAAGCGATTCTCCTGCCTCAGCCTCCCGAGTAGCTGGGATTACAGGTGGGCGCCACTGCGCCCAGCTAATTTTTGTATTTTTAGTAGAGACAGGGTTTCACCATGTTGGCCAGATTGGTCTTGATCTCTTGACCTCGTGATCTGCCCTCCTCGGCCTCCCAAGGAGTTGGGATTACAGGAGTGAGCCACCATGCCCCTGCCAGGATATGGATTCTTAAGTGCACTCTTGGTGGACTAAATCTCATTCACTAGAATTAAATTCTTTCTGCTTGATACTGTGAGAGGATGAGGAGGATATGTCAGGGCAACTAGTTCATAGCCTCCCCAAAAGTGCCATTTGCTCTTTAACTGTGCTTTCAGCAGTGAACTACTGGGGACAGCACAGTGAAATACCAGAGAAGGCACACACTGAGGATGTTCTTTTATACTGATCATCTTTACTGCCAATGACACATTACACAAACCAGATCACAAGGTACGCCAAATGGACCTCAAGGATGGAGGGGAGGGGATCAACCCCTCAGAAGAGTCCAAGACCATGCTTTGGTATCTAAGTCATCGCCTACACACTAACCGCATGGTCTTAGGTTCCAACTCGGGAGTGTGTTGTTCCCGATTACGGTCCAGTTTCTCTAGAGATAAAAATCCAAATCACAGAAACAAGTGACCAGACTTTATCTGCACATACTAAGTTGCTTTTATTAATCCAGAACGGCATGCTACAGATACTGTACAGCATGAACATTTATTCATTACAAAAATGGCTTCCAAACCATTAAAAATGAACTTGGAATAAGAGCATAAAACGGAACAGTAACATCACAACTGTTAGGAAACATTCAAAGTATTCACAAAAAATGTTATAGTTAGCATTTTAATAAACCAGAGAAAAATCGGAGACAGTTTTACAATCGCTTCATGTCAACTACAATGGCACTGAATGAACAGGTTTCAGCTTTATACAGCATTTTGCAACATCAACATGCCTAGGTTTTATTTTTAAAGGTTGCTGCCTACTCATATGTAATATGCGTACATAAAAGCGGCAGCTGGTTTTTCATTTAAGAGTAATCTAATATACAGAATTTTGGCCCTTAAGGGTTTATACCTCTTCATTTAAAATGCTTTCTGGACAATCTGCTACCAAACACATTTTGTTATAGGTGACATTAAAACTACATACAAACCTACCTATGTAACATCACAGCAAAACATGATGAACAAAAATTACAGCATCAAAAAGAGGGAGAAAGCTAAATTCACTGAGAATTTTGGCACATAAAGTTTTGCACACGGTCAGTCCAGGTCCTAAGGGCGCAGGGCGGGGCATCCCACTGGGAGTTGAAAGGGGAAACGCAGACGTTCCCACTGCTGCTCAGACAGTGTCGCTAAAATTCCCTCAGTCATTTTCAAGTCTTGTTTTATGTAATGGCTTTTAAAGCAACTTTTGTTAATGCTACTGATCCTTAATGCAACTATTAATGTCCATTTGGTGACATCTGGGTTTCATACGGCAAAAAAAAAAAAAAAAAAAAAAAGGAAAAAAAGTCAAAAAGGGAAACAAAAATATATATACACATTATATATATATATAAACTTAAAAACCTTGTACAAATGAGTTGTTATATATAAGATGCTTATGCTAAGGGGGAAAAAAACTTTATACAGTTTCAAGAAAAAGGAAAACATATTTAAAAAGGGACAACATACAGGTACGACAAGCAATCTCTAAAGCAATAAATACTACTGGCCCAACAGCATTGTGATTCTATTAAGTGTTGAGTAGCATCCCCTCCCCCCAAAAGAACAACACCATGGAACAAGGTATATTAACACATTTTAACCCTTTGTTTCTGTACATTTAAACAATAACAAGTAACATCACAATAAAAGTTGTTTCACACAGAAGAAAAATAAAAGGAAAGTAACGGCACTGCATTCATGGTGCCCTTACAGTTTAAAAACCAGATGTAAAATGATTGGTTCGCAAGCTCGTATTTAATACAAATAATACAGAACCAACTCCTTCTGGAGGGCTGCTTCAAAATTGCTTTTTTTTTCTTTTTGTTTTTTAATCAGTCTTTTAAAACTAAGCTATCCGAACTACATAACAGTTATGTATATATATATATTTTTTAAACGCTACAAAGACTTTAAACAGCTGTTGATAAAAATTTTGGTAGAATCATGAGGTTCTTCTCTCATCTACATATTTAAAAGGAGAAATTGAAATAAGAATGGGTCAAATATTGACCAATGAACTCGATAAACATCAACTAATGTAGCCACGTGGCACAAAATTAATAGAGTACAAAACAAAACCTTTCAAGGTGGGGGTTGGGGGGGCAAATAAAGAAAAGCGAAACAAAACCATCAACAAAGCAACCGAGGCTCACGCTAAAGCTATTCTAAAGACTTGGTGACAAGCGACAGCGGCTGGGGCTGTGTCCCGGCCAGGGAGCTGTGGGAATGTAAGGAAGAAGTCGACGGCTGTGCAATTGATGAGGGGGCGGCAGGCGGCAGAGCGGCGGGGGGCAGGTCCAGGGCCCCGTTGGGACAGAGGGCAGAGGCCTTGTGGGTGGCCTCAGCGAGCAGGAGGGCGGGTGGCGGAGGCATCATGGACAGGTGGGCCAGGGGGTCAGGCTTCAGGGACAGCGACAGAGGCTGGGTCTGCTCAGTCTGTGACTTGGCGTCTCGGGGAGGGGAGCCTAGCAGGTTGGGGGAGGGGGGAGGCGAATCTAGTAAGCTTCCATCTGAAGAGGGTGGGCTGAGGCAGCTGCCTTCACCTTGTATGTAGCGAACGCACTTTTTTTTTCTCCTAGAAACAGGGGAGAGAGTTATCTGTGAATAGAAGGCACAGACGCCAAGGGAGAGAGTTACCTAACGCTCACACCCAAGCTGAGGCCACAGAGGTGGCACGCCCAGTGGTCCAAGGACAATGATGGTGGCGCCCCTGGGGGTGGGCGGCTCACTTCACAGTGCCCAGATCTAAGCCTGAAATGGCAAACCACATTATTTCAGAGTCCGAACTCTCTACCTGCTTCTTCCAACCCCCACTGAACACCCACAGCCCCACCCTGTTCAAATATACAAGAGCAGGGTGGAGGCGGCCACCTGCACCTATTTGCCAGAAAGAGGCTTTGTCCAAATTGAGATGAACTGAAAAGCTCTTTTGGCTTAGACAGTCCCTCACTTTCCCATCAAGTTTCCTCGGCTCTCCACCCCCATCCCCATCCCCACCACCACCCCCCATCCCAGAGTGGTGTGTGTGTGTGTGTGTGTGTGTGTGTGTGTGTGTGTGTGTGTTTAAAAGAGAAAGACAGAGCTCCTTCCCCAGCCGCCTCGTATCAATATGAAACTCTCAAAATGCTCACTGTTGAGCCCACATAGCTGAAGCCAGAGCTAGCAAGAGGCTTAAAGATTTTAATACACCACCACCATGAGGCTGCTGGCGCCCAGAGAGCTTTTGGGCTTGTCTGTTAAGAACCACACCAAATCAAGAGAGGTCAGAATCAGGTGAGAAGGGAGGAGGGGAAACAAAAATAAAACAAAATAAACTTAAAAAAACAAAAACAAAAACAAAACAAAAACCACCAAAAACAGGTAGAAGAGGATAAACAAAGGTGGGGGAGGGGGAAGAATAAGAATAACAGAAAATGATTCAAAGGAACGAGAATAACTGGTTGTATGGCCTGCAGGTTGTGGATTAAATTAAGATTCAAACTTGATTTTTTTTTTTTTTTTTTTTTTTTTAAGATTTAGGGCTTTCCCCTCCCCCACCCCGTAGTGAGAAGGTTGGAAGGAGAGACGGTGAGGATGGGATGGATGGAGGGGCGTCCTGCCCTTGTCAATGGAGGGTGCAGCACAAGCTCATCACCAAGAAGTGACGACAAAGAAGAAGTGCCAGGGAATCGCAGCATGGACCTTCCTGGGTTGGGGTTATTTATCGTGATTCGTGTTTAAACCAGAAAGACTAATTCTGCCCTGCACCAAAACCAGCATCTCCCCTCTTCGCTACTTGTTCATGTAAGAAATCGGAATGAAAATTTCAGAGCCCTCTTGCTTAGCATCAAAGGATGAGGTCGGGGAAAATCAACTCAAGAAATTGAGCATGTGACTTCAAAGCTTCTTCTCCCATTAGTCCCAGTCTGATGGGATGGTATTTGGTAAGGAAAGGTGAGCCTGGGGATCAACCCCACTAATGCTATAAAAATAATGCAGATACAGGAAGTGTGCCCATCTAAGGACCCTAGAATATTGTCAGAACCATGGCTGATAACACTCCAACTAGAAACACGTGTGTGAGCGCTGGCCAGCTTCCTGCCACTGGAAGCAACCAAGATGCTGCCTGCTTGAAGGCAACCACTGTCAGACGATGTCACTGGCCTTGGAAAGGAAGGCTGTGCTGAGTTCCTCCTCTTGGTCTGTGCCCCACAGCTGTCTGATCATGCCCCTCTGTGCGTGGGGTCTGGGCTCAGCAAGATGGTAGGAAGGCAGGAAGGAGGGGAGGGGTGGAAGGGAGCATGCTCAGTCCTCCCTGCCTCCCAGAGGCCAAGATTCATGGGGGCTAGTGGCCTCAGGGTCTGTCTGTTCCCCTCTAGGTCAGAAGGAACTCTAGGGGAGCAAGCACCACCCCCTCTCACCCTCAATTTGGCAAGGTTCCTTTTTCTCCCTGGGAGAGAGTAAATAGACTACGGGTTCGGCTTCCATCCCAGAAACCAAGATAAATAATTAAGTCTCTCAGAGTTTTAAACCACCTTAGCCTGCAGATCAAAACATGCTCAAAAAACTAAGATGTCCATGCATTTTAAAAATGGGAGAAGGTAGGGATTGGGGGTGGGGAGGGCATAAGCAAAACTGAGGAAGCAACAGAGAAAAACAGAGAGAGGAAAGGAAAGGGAGAAAGAGAGAAGCGGGGAGAACAACTAGGAGGACCAGGGAACGGCATCAAGCAGCATTCCATGCTATATTATGGCAGAGGGAAAAGATGGGAAAAGCAACTTGGTGGGCTCAAAACAGAATCTTGTTAAAATGTCCACAAATGTCAAATGAAACTAGAAACCTCGTGTGGCAAGCTAGGAGCCCTGATTGGCTAGGAGCATTCTGGTGCTTCCCTCACCCCTCCCACCCTCCTTATGTAGTGGAAGTTTCTAGATCATAGGGATGAGAAGGGCATCTGCAACACAGAACATGACTATGGCGACAGAGTGATGGGTCTTCTAAGGTGGCTGAGCACAGGGCAGTTGGCACACACACACATTTCTGACGAGTCAGAAAATGCCTCAGTTGGCAACTGCTTTTCTTTTTTTTTTTTTTTTTTAAGTACATTTTGTCTTATGGGTTTTAGCATCAACCCAGGGGTGGCCATAGCCAAGTTAAAAGTAAACGTTGAGGCAAAAGGGGGCAGGTAACCCATACTCTTAGCACCCCCAACCTAGGGTTCCTCTTGATTCAGAGAGGTGGCCTCTCAAAACCCCATTCTAGCTTCTTATTTATTCTGAAAGGAAACTAAGGTTCTTCCTAATCCCATTTCGGAATAAAATCCTTACAGGACAGCAGAAATGCATTTGCTAATCATTCCGCTGTATGGAAAAGTCACCAATGAAGAAAAATGTCCGCTGGGAAAGTCTGAACACTGCTGAGACTGGAAAGAAAACCAGGTAGAGATGGGGGCCTGGGAAACTCTGGTGCCTAGACCAGGGGCTTGGCATCTACAGCATAAATACTGCCATATTGACCGTCAGCTCCTCCAAGATGCATTTTAGAAAACCATGCTGCTAAAACAGGAAGCAGCTACAAAGGTTTTGGCTTGGCAGATTTTTTTTTTTTTAATATCAATAAAATTCTGGTCTCTGAAGATACACCTAGGCTGTAAGCAAGGTGTAAGCTATGCCCAAGTCGGGGATGTGTATTTGGGTCAATGTTAGGAATAATTTCCAAGAGAAAAAAAAAAGTCTGACTTGCGGCAACTGCTTCCAAAACAAAAACAGGATTCATAAAGCACCAGCCACCCCCATTAATAAAACAAACAAACCAGGTACCTGAACTGGCCTTATTGTGAGTTGTACACAATAGTGTCAGTTGTATATTTCTACAGATCATGAGAAACCCTCTCTTTTAGTGACCCCTGTGGTTAACCAGTCACTGGCCATGGCAGTGTATCCCAGAACGGGCTTCCACAGCTAGTTATCTTCCCACCTGGTACGAGTACAATTGTGACAAATTCACTGTTTAACAGAGTCCCTGTCCTCCCTGGCTTGTCCTAATTAAATACCTAACGACCTCCAGCAACTTTATCACAACACTCCTTTCTGTTGTGCAGAGAGGATCCCAGGACTGTGTCAAAGGGACACATGTCAGCTCTGTGAACACTAGCATCTCACAGAATGCCTGGGGAGTCACTCTCCTGCCGGGTGTTCCACTACGCCAAATCCCTCATTCCATGGGCAGAGGGCTGTCCGTGTGGCTCCCTCTCAGTGAAGACTGTCAGGCCCTTTCTCCTCTAATGTGTGCTGGGTCAACAGGAGGCACTTCACCCATCTCTCGTATTGGCATCAGAGAAGGGGGGAAGAGACACAGGAGACTCGTGGGCATGCACGAATGGGATGCACATCTGATCTAACGTCTAAACACGGAGCACATGGCAGAGTCATGGAGGGGAGGGACACGTGACGAGGGAGGCACTACAAACAGGGAAGCGTGTTTGGGGGGTTGAAATACCTACCATCATAATATTCCAAATTCAAAGACTGCTTGTATCAGAACAAAGAAACAACAAATTTAACCAAAGGTGGTCATTAAAGGAAAGGGAATGAGATAGGAGCTAGTCGGTATCCCTCCACCAAGAAGGAAGTACCTATGCTTTCCCTGAGAACGCAGGCTGGATGGAGACCTGCAGGTGGAACGTGGGTGCTTAATTTGGACCCTTCTGGGCTGTTCTGATTGCTTTTGGAACCAACGCTCTATACATACATATATTTGGTTAATTCTGCAGGCCTAGCGACACTGCAGTCTGAAGCCGCAAGACTCACTGCTTGCAGCCCCTTTAGCTGGTGCATGCCGTTCAATGCCACGCTTCTTTTTCAGCACTGTAAAACAATGTCAGCTAACCAAGCTCCTCTGTGCAGACAGGTGGTTTTTAAACATAAAACAAAACCAAAAAGGAAAAAGAAAAAGGGAAAGAAGCAGCCTACCCCAGAGCCCTTCTCTGTGTGTCTCAACTCAAAGTGCATGGGAATGCAATTGCTGCCACGTGTTAACGCATTGGAACCTTTGGAAATGGTGGCTCTCTATGCTCAGTACCCGGGCCACCGAGGCATTCCTAGCCCGGCCAGCTCCAGGATGCCGGCTTTCAAAGCAAAAAAGATAAGTGCCCCTCCTTGTTTGTTAAGGCTGTGGTCTCAGTACTGCCACCAGGGATATATTATTCACGAGAGCAGGGAGGGGGAAGAGAGCAAGAGAAAGTGGGGAGAGGAAACGGCATAAAATTAGCAAGGAAATTTTGAAGAATGAGGATCATTAGTCATTGATGCTGGAGGGGAAGTAGATGGGAACGAGGTCAAAATAAATTGTCAAGCTAAGGTACCGGAAGGACAGAATGCTTTGATTTTCCCAAAGGCCTCGCAGTGGTAATATACCTGCACGGTTTGCACCATAAAGTCTGTCGGTCAAGCCCGAACAGTGCCCGACACTTCTTTGGAGTATTTGCATCTGTTAGCATAAGGTAAACACAAAAAATACAACACAATGGTGGGTCGTGCTCAGTTGGATGTGAAATCTCAGCTACAGTTTCCTTTTCTTCTATATCACCTTGGTTCTACTTGATAACCTTCCCTCACCAAGGACATGAAAGGAAAGGACTTCTATGAGTCAAAAGAAAAAATAAAATAAAATAAAACATACACACAAAAAACAACAACCAGAAACCAAAAAACAACAATGAAAAAATAAATAAAAAGAGAGAGAGAAGAGGAGGGGAGAAGGTGACGTCATTTGCTTCTACCTAGGCCAGGATTCCTGATCCTGGGCTGTCACAAGGAAGGGAGGTGGGGCGGCGGGACGTTGGCAGGTAATATTTCCTGGGAGGGGGCGTGCTAGGGTTTGCTGTCGCTGACCCGAGGAGGCACGAGCGATGCTGTTTTACAGTGGCATTTTGGCTAGCAGCAGCAGGAGAACAAGCACATCCCTCATAGAGCCCATACACTTGGCAGTGTCCCACTCCCCTGTGTCTCCTGAGATCCACACACAGAGCTACAAAGCAACAGGCCAGAGAAGGGGGAAAAGGACCGAATAGACCAGCTGCAAACCAGCACAGCGAATCTGGGAAACTATACACACCTGCAAGGGCCGCACCAGTTATTCTGTTGATCAAGGCCAAAGCGCGCTCGGCATTTCTTAGGAGCGCTCAGGTCTGAATGAGTTCAAGAGAGAAGCGAGCAGAGGAGGAGGAGGAGGAGAATGTGGGAGAAAGGGAGGGAGAGGGAGGGAGAGAGAGAGAGAGAGAGAGAGAGAGAGAGAGAGAGAGAGAGAGAGAGAGAGAGAGAGAGAGAAGGGGGGAAAGAGAAAGATACAAATAAGAAAAAAATAAAAATAAAAAAGGGAATAAATCAATGACCTGGTTACTAATTGCAAAATATTGACTTTCGTTTTTTAACTTTCTTTAATTAAAAAAAAAAAAAAAAAAGGTAAAAATCACATTCTTATTCAACTTTTGAAATTAGCTGTTGCAAATAAAGCTGCAGTATCCCTTCTTTAAGGACTGTCTCTCAGATTTGGTTTGAGCTGACAAAGGGAAGTTAGATACCGAAGAACTCACTCTATTCAATATTTTTCCTCTTTTAGTTCTGCTTTCCCTTTTTTTCTCTCAATTTTTTTTCTTAAAGAAGAAAATAAAGCGAAGGAGGGAATTAAGTTTGTAACATGCTTTTTTCTTCTCAGAATAGTTTAAAAAAAGAAAAATTACAAATAAAAAAGAACAAAACGAAACAAAATAGAAAGAAATAAAGAAAGAAAAGGGTTGTGGTACTGGGATATTGCAGCTTTTGGAATGTTCGTCTTTTTTAAAATCTATTTTCATTAATGTTAAGAGAGGAACAGATAAAGGTAAACAGGCTGTGTGAATGAGCTGTTAGGAGTTAGTTAGAAGCTCATAGCAGCATTTAAGCAGGCACAATCAGTAAAATGCTAGTGGATTTGCAAATTATAAGCAGAAAAGCAAAAGGAAGAAAAAAACTAAAATAAAAAAAGCAAAGGAAAAAATAATCATACTGCGGATGCATGCTTGCATGAGAAAACTTAGTGGGAGCAATGAAAAAAATGCCATTAGATTAAGGAGGTTTATTACTGAATTCCTTCCATTTTTTTTTTAAACCAGTCTCTTTTAAAGAAATACTGCATATTCAATTTGCACAGTTAGTTCAACTCTAAATCACTGTCATCACTGCTTAAACAATTGTTATGGGAAAAATAAATAAACAAAACAAAGGTTAAATTAAATTAAAAAAAATAAAAACAACAGAAGCAACTGAAAAAAAAAATCTACTGAAACATACGAAACCGTGTTGATGGTCATTTTAAAGAATGTTCAAATGTCATACGTGTTTAAATGTTAATAAAACTATAATGGCAAGAAAAATTAAAAAACAGTTTATCAACTATTTTAATGACTCAAAATGACATTAGCACCTGTAATCGGAGGAAGTGAAAGGCAAGGATTTAGGAAACATTCGCTGTGTTCTGAAAAAAAAGAACAAATTATACAAAGTCTTCAAAATTTTTGTTTGTTTGTTTGTAAAAGCCTGGCCTTCTCCAAGGGACCTCTGAGATTGCCTATGCAGTATTTCTAATTTCTTCTAGAGAATGACAAACCTCCTTAATTTAAAATGGGTGTAATTTACCACTGTAAAGGCATGCATCAGAACATTCAGGAACAGCCCAGTTAATATCAAACACTCACACACACCCCTTCCTACGCCCCTAGGCCCCGCCCCCTCCTCATCCCTTCTCAGGCACATACAAAATAAGCAGACTGTATAAATCCCGGCATAGGCATGCCTACCGCTTGCTCTCCAGTTACAGGCTTTGCAGTTATTTAAAAACACATTCCACTAGAATTACAATGTGCTTTTCATGCAACAATGGATGTTACTAGCTTTAAAAGGGCAGTCATAAAGCAATTAATTAAAATGCATAAACAAAAAGGCTGGCTAAGATGGGTTCCCCCACAATGTCCTGGCCTTGAATTTCTCCTGCCTCCCCCAGATGAAAGCCTAGCATAAAAGGGTGGTCCTCGGGCTATGGCTCCTTTCTCTAACCTGATTATTGTGACTTACCATTGGTCTCTCCCGGCTGCTTGTCCCTTTTCCTCTTCTTCTTCTTCCCCTAGATGAACAGACGAAACACAGGGAATTATTGCAGGAAACAGATGAGAGAAGAGTGTCTGAGCGCACCTGGAAGGAGAAGGCAGGAGGAAGTAACCACGCTACCATCTCCATCCACATTAGCCCCCACATTTGTCCAACGTCTGACTCCTTTCAAGCCAAATGCCCTTGCATTGTACTACAGCTGGAGGGACACACGCTTCTCAGGAGAAGAGAAGGGGTCGGCGGGTGGTGAAGGAAAGCTCTCATTTCTCATGTACCTATGTCCGCTGTCAAACCTGACCCACAGCATTTGATCCATTTAAAAGGGAAGGGAAGAAGGACTGCATGAACAGATTCAGAGAGGAGTGGGATAACGGCAATGCAAGCAGCCTGAGAGCCCATCTTTGAGGAGCATATGGCGGTGGTCACAGCTGCACAAGCTTCAACAGGTGCCCTGCCTGACCTGCTCACATCTCTTACTTATGAAGGCCAAAGGGTCCCATTCTGAATCAAGAGAATGAAAGCTTTAGCAGGGGCTTCTCTTAGAGCTGGTTTTTAAAGATGGTAGAGAAAGGGGTGAAATAGAACCGGGATCATCTGGGCTCCGTTCACAACTGCTGAGTGGGCCGGACACAGTAGCTGATGCCTATAATCCCAGAACTTTTAGAGGCCGAGGCGGGAGGATCCCCTGAGGTCAGGAGTTCAAGACCAGCCTGGCCAACATGGCAAAACCTCATCTCTACTAAAAATACAAAATTAGCCAGGCATGGTGGTGCATGCCTATAATCCCAGCTACTGAGGAGGCTGAGGCAGGAGAATCACCTGAACCCAGAAGGCAGAGGCTTCAGTGAGCCGAGATCATGCTATTGCAACTCCAGTTGGGCGACAAGAATAAAACTCTGTCTCAAAACAAAACAAAACAAAACAAAAACTGCTGAGTGGACATCTATAAGAAAGATGATGTTCTCTCCATTCTCTTCTACCTGACATAATGAGGATGATACCACTCCTACCACAGATGGCTCACACATATTGAGCATATGCCAGGTGCCAGGCACGATTCACAGATGGACTCATTTTAACCTTCACAACAACCCTCTTCAACAGGTTTCACAGACAGAAAAACTGAGGCCCACTGGAGTTAGGTAGCTTTGCCAGGGTCACAAACCTAGCAAGCGGTGGGGCCAAGAGAGAGCTCAGGTGGTCTTGGCTCCGAAGCCCTCAATCACAATGCTCTGCTGCCTGCATGTTCAATGCCCAGCCCACCAAGGAAGCTCTTTCTGTGAGGGGGTTAGGGGATGAACTGCATGGAGTCATTCATATTCTCCAACCTGACACTCCTTGGTATCCCTACGGTCTGCTCGACATGGCAAATGTGGAATGGAACTGGGGAATTCAGGAGAGGTGACTGCCTCATTCCGGATTGGACTAGTTCTCCCTCCCCTCCTATCCCTACCAAGATGAAGTGGCTGCCTGGTACATATTGAAATGAAATGGCCTTACTCTTCTATATGTTTCAGAATAGCTAAAAGGTGCCTTTGTGTAAAGCTTCTCACAGTATGTTGATGTCAACTTGGAAGAGAAAAAGACAACAACAGGTAGAAAGAAACTGGAGAACATGTTAGTCTCTGTTGGGAGAACCTTGAGGTGGTGAGGCCACCAAGCTTAGGCTCCACCCCAGGGCTGAGGGTCATCTGCTGTAGAGATGACATATCTTTTCTCTGAGGTCAAGAGGCCTGTGCCACTGAGAGCTTTGTTTTGGCCTTCTGTCCAAGTTCTAGTTGAAACGTGCTATGTTCCTTCGTGTACAGTTTCTTTTAAAAGGACTTCATGTGCTTTATCATGAAGTTGGCACCTCACGGGCCAGCAATGAACCATCTCCGTGGCCGTGCCTCTCTCACCTGAGGGGCAAAGTGCCACCTGGCTCTCCTGAAACAGGCAGGGGGAGCATAGTTGCAGTTCATCTAGGAACCTGAAGTCTTCATAAAGACCAGGCATAGAAATGTTTTAACTTCAGGGAGTATCAGCATCCACACACCCAATGGCTTCTCAGCCATATGTGAAAAAGTGTCCCCATTTCCAATTCCCCTTGCAATATACTGTGAAGGCATCTGAAAATTCCTCTACCCATGAGGAAGCTGTCCCTTTAGGATCTAGCATGGAGATGGTGACTCCTGAAGAAGTTGTCATTTAGACTAAAGGCTTCTGGAGGAGAGGGACTATGTTTTAGTAAAAAGACGAGAAAGTGGACAAGCCCTACTCTCAGAGAGGAGGGAGATGCATCTCCAGGGAGGTGGCCTCCCTACTACCCCTTTAAATGTAACAGAAGAAAGGAAGGGCCATTATAATATAGGGTGGAAGAAGAGAATCTCAAGTGAGGAAATGGCATAGGACCTCTATCCTTTACCTGAGGTAGAAGGGTTAGAAAGGAAATCATGTTGAATACAATCCCAGGGTTAGATATTACTATGGGACCCAAAGTGTTTTCTCTCGGGCTCTAGAGAATGTGCCAAGTCTGACAATCCAAATGTGACTGTTTCACTCAATCTTGTTTTCCTAAGGTAGAGATATAAAGGCTTCCATTAAGCAGTTGGCTGGAAGAGCAGGAATGGGAAAAAAGGCATGAGGTGAGCTCAGGAAATATTTTCCAGAAGAACCTTTTGGAGTTTACAATGATAAAGTAATTTATGGAAATGCTTATGTCAAGTTAAAAAAAAAAATACGAGTAAGTTGCTACCACATTCAAATCCATAAAAGCTTCAATGCTGCGGTTCTTACCCCCAGGGTTCCCTAATGCATGAAAGGAAGGAGTGTGAGTGTGCGTTCACACTCATGTGTAATGAGCCATTGCAATTGGAACCTAAGTACCTCTTACAAGAGATCAAGTTCCTAGAGTCCTAAAATCCAGATCTCTAAACCTCAGACCATCTCAGGAGTTCCCTTATTATACCAAACCATCTTCCAAATTTAAAACTGAGCTAAAGTCATTTCGAGTGCCTCACAGCCCTTCTGAAACCCAGAAAATATGTCACAAAAAGCCTCGAGCAATACTTTCTCTAAATGACTCCCAGGCAAGTCAAACACAGTATTCGTTTGAAGCTATCACAGTCTGCCTTGTACCTTTGTGGAGATTTCACCCTGCACAACTCCAGGGGGCACCATTCACACAGACCCCAGTGTAAATGACATACTCTAGAGCTGTGCAGTGCACGCCCTGCACAGCTGTACATGAAGGCCCTACTATGACCCAAAATATCTATTGGCAATATGATCTCTATAGAGAAGCTGAATTCCTCTCTGTGGTAACATTCTAGATTACTCAAAGAATTGGGTCTGTAGCAGGTAGAAGCTCAAGATGAACTCTAAGAACTTCTGACCTGAAACCAGGAGAGCAGTTATCCTGAAATGATATGGCTCTGTGCATGGAGGCTATGGAGCCTGCCTGCTGCTGGAAATCTCTACCTCAGGGTCAGGTGGGGGTGAACAGCAAACCTGTGGGAGGGCATTTACTTTCTCATCCTCTTCCTTTCAGCTCCAGAAGAAAGGCTTCCTCACTGCACACATGCTGGGGACAAACAGAAAGGTCCCAAGCAGTGAAGACCCCGTGTAAGCCCATCTGTCGGCGACAAGGGCTCTCAGCAGAGCACATGTGCCATCTGAGAGGTGCCAGCACTCCTTCCTGATTCAACTCCCAGGAGGAACACAGTCTAGCACTGCCAGCAAAGGGCAGCAGGGCCTGGAGAAAGATGGGCATGGGCACCTCCCTTCTCCCTCATCTACACGGCAAGCATGGGTTTAAACGTATGAGAAGAAAGAGGAAGGAAGCCTGAAATCGGTCATCAGAGCAGGCAGAAGCAGCCCCTCCTCGGGATCACATATGCCCACAGATGTTTGCGATTTCCTGGCAGATGCCATGTTCTGAGGGAGTAAAGACGTCCGTTTTAACTCTGAATCCCTGTAATAACTTGTGCACAGTAAGTGCACCCTCAATTCAGCAGTAATTTAACTACCTCAACCCCCATACATAGAACTGCTTCACCACGGATGATGCCAGTGGGAGAGTCAAAAGCAACTGGCAAAGTAACCATCCACGGCTCCATGACATCAACAGGAAGGGGCGACAGGCCTGTGCCGGCCTTAAGACAAGTTTTGGTTTTCCCCCAAGAGTGGATGGTAAAATCCCTTCATAGAACCAAATGTCATGAAACAAAGTATCAGACAAGGCAAGAGGCATTTCATCCACCTGGAGAGGAATGTGCCCGGAACTGCAGTTACTGGTCAAAATGTGGGCAAATCAAACACGGTATTCGTTTGAAGCTATCACAGCCCGCCTTGTACCTTTGTGGAGATTTCACCCTGTACAACTCCAGGGGGCACCATTCACACAGACCCCAGTGTAAATGACCCCAGCAGTGGTGAGAAGTGACGGAAGTCTCTGGAGGACAGTGTGCTCATGGGAAAAGAGGAATCGTGGGGTCACAACTGCAGCAATTAGTAAAAATCATCATCCCACGGTGTTTCCTACAACCCAAGAGAGGACTAGGCAGACCCTGTGGTCCATGCAGAGCTCAGGAACACACACACCATAACACACCTTTCCCTGCCCCTGCTGGGCCCAAAGTCAGTTCATGCATCCTGCCAAAGGCTGACTTCTTCTGGCTGCTTTCAGGGATACTCCCATCATGCTCCTCTCAGGATGAAACAGGCTTCTAACTTCTACTACACCATGGAATAAAGCAATAGTTTTGTTTTTCCTGCTGAAAGGTCTGGAAGGAATTAAACTCTCTTCCTCTATAACTATCCCCTGGTCTTCCCTAGAAGACCACACACTGTTCACTGCTGAGGAGCCCTAAGGAACCTAATCTGGAACATAAGGTCTTCTGGGTGTATCCTAGAGCCCTGCCTCCTCTAAGAAGTGGACAAGCACCAAATCAACCTTGTTGGTCCTGAGCTGCAACGCTGGGACCAGAGCCTCCTCCCTCTGCCCTAAGGAATGACTGACATATCCGTCCATACTTGAAGCCCCTCCCTGCAGTTTGGTGATCCAGAAAGATGCTACTGGTCCCCAAAGTGGGCAGACTGAATGGTCCTGAGGCCCGCACCAGTCAAGTTGGCAGGTCCCGTTCTCTTTGTCCAGAAAGACACACAACACAGCTGTACAGACTCTAATCCTAAGGAAAATGATCCACCTACATAGTTATCCCGCGCAGACCAGCCGGGGTACAGTTGCATATGAAGCTGTCGCTCCTTCCTGGCCAGCTCGTAGTATTTCGCTTGTTCTTCTCTGGACAGTGCATGCCACTGGAGGGGACACGGAGTGCAGACAAGAAAGACACAAACAAAAAGAAGAGCGTGAAAAAACATCACACAGGACGTCAAGAGCAGGGAATAAATAATGTTGCTTTTTGGGGGTGAGTCCATCCAGAAATGGTATAATCTGTGGATACTGACCGTTTGCTGGGTCCTGGCACTAACAGGAGTGTTTAGACAAAACTTGATTTGTGATCTATGTCATTCTGTCATTTGCTCGCTCTTTTAGGTGGGGGAAGAGTATGGCTGTGGCTGTTCTGAATGATGTCTGAGCCCAGAATAACTCATCCTGACTCAATGAAGGCCATTCAAGGATTCAGAATGTGACTGAAGGGCAAGAATTCTCCAAAGAAATGGGGACAGAGACATTCTGCCACCTCACCTGCTGCAGCCTGGTCCCTTCCGCCCCCGCTTCTCCCTGGGAAGCGCACCCGTCACCTACCCTCCGCCCAAGGATCTGGTTGATGGCCGCGCTTTCTTTCAACGTGCACTCGGCTACGACCTTTGCTCTCATTTCCTTCATATACAACATGAATGCATTAAGAGGTTTCTTTATGTGGGGCTTCTTCTTTTCTTCTTCCTTTTTGGAGTCCTGATGCTTTCTGGAGAGAGACAAAACAGACGCAACCCGATCAACGAGGTCACAGTCCAACTTCCTCCACGGCAGAGAGCCTATCTCCTTGCCTGCTAGCCCCCGAGCCTAGCAGTTTTGGATGAAAAAGCATGCTTGTAGTCTTCACCCCGAAAAATGGAACAAAAATAGCTTGGGGAGGGGTTGGGGGAAGAGAGAGGATTTTGCAATCACTTCCTCAAGTTTCACAAATATATAATTTTCCCAAGCCAGAGGGGAAACACAGTGTTGCCATCTTCACCTCGGCGTGGTTCTCTCGTGCTTGCAGAACAAAGCTCCAAATGGTCAATTACGGGGTTACAGGGCAGGGAAGTGGTTGCAAATCCCAGTGCATCCAAGAACACATACAAGAAACAGTCCTGTTCTAACCCACGGTGGTAGAGTGAGCCTCTGCCACTGTGCATTCTCTCTCTTTGTAAGGGAGCACAGAGCCCACATGGGCTGGGTATTGGCTGGAGTCCAACCAAATGAGGCCAACCTTAGGCAGAAAGCCACCACCCAGCAGCTGCAACAGGCCTGCAGACCACTGCAGTGACAAAGAAGGTGAGAAAAACAGCAACACTTACGAGCTATGGAGTGAGCCGACGTCACTCTGGGACGATTCCTGTTTGACTGTTGGCGTGACTATGGCCGGATGCGGAATGCCCGTCGTGTGTAGCGTATGATGTGGTGGGACCATATGGGGAGGGAACCTAGAAGACAGAAAGCTGTGTAAATCGTCAGAATCAAAATGAATGAATGAGGAAGGATGTGTACACACAATTAAAAAGAAAAAAACAGCACGTAACACTCACATGAAAGCAACCCAAGGCATATGAAACCTGTCAGCATTAATTAGCGATAAATTAAACATAATGATTCTCATAATGTCATTAAAGCTGATCTCCCCCTTCATTATTGCTAATGACATAAGACATTATGATTTTCAACATCTTTGGCAAAAGACAAATTCAGTGGACGTAGGTGGGTGGAAAAGTGGGCTTGGACTACCTGCCGGAAATCGCAGGTCCACTTGTTTTTTGAGGCATTATTAGTGGCATCTAAGAAGACAATTTCCTAAGTCCTAATCAGCTCTAAAATGAAAGGTGAAATCTTTTGTTGTATATTGACAGCTAAATAAAATATTAACGTGGTTGAAATATACATACATTTTTGACAATGCTGTGCAAGCCTCATTAGGCCTCATCCTGTTGATGACGTGCAATACAATTTTTATTTTTCTTTTGTGCTGTGTCCCATCATTTGACAGGAAGGGGAGAGAGTGAGGCAGGAAGACGGGGAAAAATCCAAGTAGTCCCTATTTGGTTCTTATCGTAAGTCATGGACATTTTAAATAAGTTTGTATCCCTTTATGGAAAGATGCAGAAAAAGAAAAGAAAAGAAAAGGCACATACACACAATAAAGCTTGGATTCTGATTTGTATGCCCTTTCTCCTCTAAAATTGAGGGTTCCTACATCACTTTTAACTTAATATGTTGTCTATATGTCATTAAGAAGCCTTCTAAATGATTATCAACATTATAAATGCAAGATACAGTTTGTGCTTTCTCCTCTCATGCTGCTCATTTTTTGGACAGTTCTCTAAGACACATTTTAGGGTCTAAATCGGCATTTCCCAACCAAGCACATTAGCCAGGACAGAAAGAGCTAATTTAATCCTACTCTTGGCCCATCTGCAAACTGACAAGTGGATCAAACAGCTTTCTCATTTTCTTTTTTTGCATGGTGTCACCATGATTTGTACTGGGTTGGAAAACTCACCCCTCTTCAAGCAACATAGCCTACTACAGAAAAAGTAGAGTGAGGGACAGAGAGGGCAGAATCTCCAAAGAAAACAAAATGGCAGCCTCCTGCTCCAGCCGGGCAAGGTGACTTAAGTGGACAGAAGGGAAGCTGTTCAGATGAAGATCATGGAAACTGCTGCTTTCTTATTAAATCCAAACCAAAGCAGTCTAACCTATCACCCAGGGAATAACAACCTGCTCTTTAGAAAGCCAATTCCAGTGGGAACAGAGGTCCTGAAGAGGATTTATCATGACAATTATTTCAAAAGGATTCTGTATTTATTTACAAAGTTTTTTCCATAAGTGGGCTAGAGATAGCTTCCATTCAGCCAAGATAAGGTAACAAAAGTTAATTTGAAAAATAATCAAATGTGTATAAAGTACTAACTGAATCTCCACAGATGAACAGGGAAGAAGAGTCATGAACAGTGCTGATGACTGAAGAAGGCTTAAGCCACAGTAGACATCTCACTCAAAATCCCACCCGATGTGGCCTCTCCTGCCACTTACTGTACAAACTTCAGCCAGTGGTGAAGTCTGCATGACATGATTTTAAAAATAACAGCCATGTAAGTCCTTTTAACGTATCAAAAAAAAAAATGAGAGAAGGAAAATGTAAGGAAACAAACAAGCTAACAACCTCCATCCCCTTCTCCTCAAAATAATGAGAAAAACAAAACAAGCAAGGCCTTGGGAGACACTTGGGCTCCAAGTGACACCCTGTTCCTTCCCACTGCTCGAAGGCCTCAGAGGGAACAGAAGTTAAGAACATGTGTTCTTGGAAGCCCTTGGGTGAAGCGGTGGGTGGCAGCTTTTACTGTGAATTTTCAAGGGCTGACATTCCTCAAATACATATGTTCCCTTCCTGCAGAATGAGAATATGTGTACAGACATGCGAGGGAGAGGGAGGGGGAGAGAGAAAAACACTGCGTGTATGACTGTGTGTGCGTACGTCTGTGTACATACACCAAATACCATGGGAAGACACCACAATCTGAGGACATTTTGGGGTGTGAACTTCCAATGTAGCCATGAGGGAAACACCTTTCTAAGTTCCCATCCCTGCACACATATTCCTGTGTCTGAAAAATGCCCAGCACAGAGACAGTGCATGAACATGGACATGGGTTGTATACACACACCTTCGCTTAAGAAATTCCTTTCTGGAGACAACAATTTCATGAAATGCAATAAACACCCTAAAAATTCTAAGCAGCTCATTATATATCCCCGTCTGCTTTCATGGCTCCAAGCCAGAATATAATGATGAACCTTAACTTGTTAAGAACAACTAATTTTTGTTTCTGGCGGTCTCAGGGGCTTCTCTCTTACTCACTCTCACTTTACTTCACTGTTGACACGTTTCTGTTAACCGGATGTCATCTGCCGGCCTTGATTTTATGCACAAGCAGTAGGATGCATTTTCCTGTGCAACAATCGTGCTTTGAGTTGCATTAGGTTTGTCATTATTCTCTCATTTTCCCCCTTGCACTTGTAACATTTCATCTCTTCCTGCCTTATTTTTTGTGAGCCACGGTGCACCCACATTATGGTTTATACATGATCTCGCTCCCTTTGAAGCCGGCAGATTTCAGAGCCAGCTCTCGTCAGGAGAAGAGCCTTGCACCAATTTAGCAGGCTGAGGGCCCGGAGCTCCAACATCTCAATCTAAAGGGGGTCACAGGGTGGCACAAGTGAGTGTCAGCAAGAGCTGTTTAATTGCCAATCTAGGCTTCTCCATGGTGTTTAAAGTATAATGACCCATCACTTAATTCTGAGAAGTCCTGGCCCCACTGCTGAATAGAATGAATATCAAAGGGTATTCTGGAACAGGGCAAGCTGCCTACATTTGCTATAACTGCCATAAGTATAATAGACCTATACTTCTGTCGCCCCATTACCACAATAATGTATTTAATTTGCTGTATACGCTTTTTAACTAGCTAGCTTTCATTTGGCCTACCTGGGGAATCGGCCGCCTCTCCCTGAACCTTGAGGCCCTAACCTTTCTTCCTGACGTTCCCTTCCCTTCCTCCACCCCCCTGCCCACCTATAAATCATCGACTAACCTCCTAATGATAATTCAATCGATAAGCTTAACCCCAATCCCTATCCTACAATTACTTCACTGCTTTTAACCTCCTGAATGCACCAAAATAAACAAACATGGAAATAAACCAGATGAAATACACAAATGCTGGGACTTTAGGAGGATGAGCTGTGGACTACAAGCTGCTCAGAAACAGCTCTCTACCTGGGAGACCCCCTCTGCATGCCCATGCTCTGCAAAGTTGTGATGACATTATGTAATAAGCGTAAGCTTCCTTTTCTCTCTAGGCCAGAGAACACACGAGCGTTTTTATGACTACCTAATACTTGCCTGGAGTTTGAAATTTGGATGATATATCACAGGTAGAAAATGAATCTCTACTACTGTGATATCCATGGCACAGTTACCAATGCTAGGTATACAGGGTTTGTTTTTCTTAATGAATGTAACTCTCCCTCACTGACAAAGTAACTGTATTCTAAGTAGGAAATGCAGGATTTCGGCCTGTCTTCCCAGGCCCTTCTCTGGTCTTGGCTTCCCATTTGGTTGCAGGGATTGGGGAGAAAAGCTAGGGACAGCAACCCCTGCCATGTAAGTCATGCTGATTTCATCATGTGCCATCATCAGAACGGGTTGGTGATTTCAGACCATCAGCAAAGTCTAAACCTCCACCGATTTAATTAACTTGACTGAAAATCAGATGAACAGAAAATAAAACTATCATTAGAAACAATTAGTGACTACTTCAACATACTGCTGCCAACCAGTTTGTAAATAAACTAGCAGTCACCGAAAAATTAGCCGGAATAAATCAGAGGAAAAGAAGAACATGGGGATAGGAGTGTATCTTGCAAATATATTTTCATGCTGAAATATAAATATATACGAATGTACAGAGCACACACATGATGTTTTAACTTCAAAGACTTAGAGCTGCACAAACCATGAGGAAACCCACCAGCTACATGTGGCTATCGCCTGTATGAAATGTGGCCAGTCTTAATTGAGAAATGCTGTGTGTGTAAGATACACATCTGATTTTATACCAAAGCTCAGTACCAAACAAGAGCACAACATCTTACTAATAGTTGTTGTCAGGGATAGCAAGTTAAAACGATAATATTTCGGCTATATTGCATTGAATAAAAACATGTCATTAAAAATAATTTTATCTCTTTAAAAAAAAAAAACTTTTTAAAAAACATGGCTACTACGAAATTTAAGATTCCCTCTCTGGCTCACACTATGTTTCTGTTGGACAGTGCTAACTTCAGGGGAGGAGGGCAATGCTTTCTTGTTGACCTGGAAACAGAGTCTGAGCTTTGAAAACACCAGTAATCTTTTTTCAAACTCTTCATGGTATAATAATAAAACCATCTTCACCACTACCTTTCTTGCCAGGGACAGGACAACAGAGAAATGGCATTTTGAATAGCTTCTGTCCTGTTTCTGCCTGGCCTTCTTAATTCTTTAAAATACATTGTTCAACTATGTGGCTCAAAATTTTACCCAGGAAGATATCACTTACCTTGGAATTTCAGGGAAATTTTTCAGGATTTTCTGGGAGTACAGCCTAATGCCACATTGGCTTTACACTAACAGAACTATACATAGCCATGGTCCCTGGGTGGCCTGGTGGCCATCTAGAGAACTTCCTGATAAGTCCCCTATGGCCTTGGATGAAGGCCCTGATTCTTGGAACTTACCTGGACATGGAAGCATTGACGGTCAGAGCTGTGGGGTAGGGGTGTCTGAATCCTCCTGTCGTAATTGGGTACACTGGTTGACCTTGCCTACAAAGAAGGGGTACAAAGTAAGAGACTTGAAACAAGGGTGGGGGTGGGGACAAGAAAAAGAAGAAAAGGGAAAAGTTCTCTCTGCACAGTAAGCTTTATTCTCATTTGATCAGAACAAAAATCTTGGGGATTGTACAGGAAGGATCAAAGGGAAGAAACACAGAACAATTTGAATGCCATAAATCTGATAGGAATGGCTAATTAAATTTTATAACCTCTGCTTATGTCAATAGAGACCCTCTCCCCAAGCTGAAACTAGGTGTTTTGTTGTAATAATTAAAGGCGAAGTCTCGCTTGCTTTAATGGAGCCATCACACTAATTGAGGGCTACACATCCAAAGGAAAACAATAATGAATGTAAATTTATACCAAAATAAAGTACAGTGAATCAAAGGACTTCAGTTGCGCTTTGGGCCTCTTTCGGTATTTAGATCTCGGTGAGAAAACATTAAATTAACAGAGCTTAATTTGTAGCCTTTTGTCAAATTAACAAGTGTTGACAAGAGTTACCGGGGGGAGCGTCCCCAAGAAGAATTGTGGGTAACCAATAGACAATCACACCTCATTACAATAATTAAAAAATACAGCAACATGCAAAATAGCATCCTCATGAAAGACACGCAACTTTTTCTGACAGAGGGTTGTCTGAGTTGGCTATTCTTTTTAATCTAGCCTTCAAATATCTCCCCATCAGCTGAATGGGGCAAATGATCACTGAGAACCATTCAAGGGTTGGCCCCATCTATTTAGAAGAAATGGGTCACAAGCTCGTGTTCATGTGTACCCTCCAAATAAAAATAAGAAGAGACAAACAGAAACTACACCCAGGGTTGGTATGTGGTATAACTACTACATAATGCAATCTTTGTAGTTGTTGTTGTTGTTGTTTTAAAAAAAAAAGCATAGACTCTATCTCACTAGAGAAATACGGATAGAATTGTGGGGTGAGCCACTCCAAAATTTTATCTTCCTTAAGGCTTTGAAAGGCCGTCTTCCCCAAGACTCAAACCTGAGTTTTACCAGGATTTATTCCTTTTAGCATTCAATGTATTGCCCTGTGTTGTTCAGAGTACAGATTACTGATAAACATGGAGAAATATATCCACAGAAACATACGATCACAAAACACATATTATACACATGCTCATGTAAAAACACAGACATACAACCCGCCACAGTATGCTAATGCATCAAAGGCCTTTCTACTCTAAATTTAAAACAGTTTTTTAAGCTGCAAAAGACAGTCAAATAATCTGGGCACTGCCAGCAACTAGGACTGATGCTTATGAAGGCCTCACATGATAAAGGAAGAGTTTCAGCTGCCCCATTCCCACCATTCACAGTTAGATAAAACATTCAACATGCAAAAACATTCAACATGAGAGAGATGCTGATTCAGTCCCATAGAGCTTCTCCATAGACAAAATTTTCCACTGTTGCTATCAACCTTGGGAGTAACGTTCAGGATGAGGTGGGTGGCTCCTGGAATTGTATTAGAACATGCCGTAATCCCAACCGTGGACTTATATGCAACAACTTTAAAAGGGAGGACTCAACAGCCTCAACCCAATGACACGATTGCAGTTTGGGCAGCCACCAGCGGAAGGGTCATGATCAACTGCACTGGGTGGAAGTCCCAGGAGTCTGCTGCAATTCCCAAAGTAACTTGAGGGCACCTCTGTCCACAGAGCCTTTAGGGACCATGGTCTCGGAATGCTAAGGACCAATAACCCTTTTCCTACATAATCCACATGAATGGCTATGGATCTGCCTGTATTCCCATAGGACACCTCCGCCACACCTTTCCTGTGCCCTCCCACTGCCCCTTCCCCAAACGTTGCCTTCTAACACACACACACACACGCAGAATAAATAATAAGCATGCCCATGTAAGAAACAAAAAGGAAATTAAAAAATGGAACTCCTTACTGTGGTACTAACCATCCTAGCGGATGGGGGATTTGTCCTACGGTGCCAGGTGATAGCGGGTAATACGGGGATATATCTGGAGGGTGCGGAGGCCGTGGGATTCCTGAGGGAAGAAGTAGCATTTTAGGTAAAAAGGAGGGAGAGAAGGAAAGAGCAACCATCAGGGCACAGGAAAAGGGAAAGGAGAAAGAGATGCATCTTTTCTGGAATCCTAGCATAAGGTTCATTCATGATTATAAGTCCTAAAAGTTGTGGGTGGGTTTCATCTCATTTTCCCTCAGCCTCAGTTTGAAAAAGTAATTTATCTCCTTCTAAATGGACTGCTCTACTGGGGAGACTCAGAATATACCATCTTGGGTATTTTTGTCCCATGTGACTGGTATGACTGCTTCAAGTTTAAAAGAAACAGCATCACAAAGGCTCAGAACCTGGTGGGTAATGAAGCAATGGTAATTCCCATTGCTCTTACAACACTGGCCCTTCGCCCTGTGGAGTTTAATGCCTTACCTGCATGACAGCTGCTCTTCTGATTTCTAACACACTTTTTGAGCTGTGATATTCAAAAGGTTACTATCCTTGCCTTTTTTTCAAAAAGGGTAACTCCTCTAAAATGTCTCCGCCTCCATTTGGATGAGCTGGAGAAATGGATCAAATGCCACGTGGCATCTTATCCAAGGTAGAATCAGAGCTGAACAGACAAGGAGGTGTTGGAGGCCTGTGTACTCCATTCTGGAACTTCATCCGCTAGAGGATAGAGTCACCTGTGGGAATTAAGCCCACCTGCTGAATGGGCACCTTGTGCATTGCAGGGGCTAAGAGACTCACAAGGCACACACAAGTGGATACTGCAAGTACGTGCCACCGTCCACTTGCCAGTTCCACAGAAGCACACCCTGCAGTCAATTCTGACAGAAAGGAACTAATCTATGCAGTTGAAGTGGGAAGGGAAAAGCACAATACCGCAGAATTAAGACAGAGTATTGGAGGGAACGGGCTACATGTTCGTGGATGGAAACGACTTCATTTTTTTAAAAAATTCATTCAGGAAGCTTTTAATCTGCAAATTAAGTCTCCCTGGGTGACATTTTCATGCAGACATTGCTTTCTCTCTATTACAAAAACCAAACAGATTAGCTGAGCTTGGACCCTACACCAAGCCATTTCCACACTTGAAAGAATGTTCGCAGAGGAAAAGTAAACAGTCCACAGACGTTAATCATATGTTTTACGATAACCATTTAAAAGCTATTCCCTGTACTACCATTATTTAAATGAGACGTTGACGCTGCCATTCACTGGTGGAGCCTGGGGCCGGCTGGAGGAGGCCGCCAGGCATCCAAGCGCCAGGCTCAGTCCCGCACTAGCACAAAGGGGCTCAGAGACCAGTAAAACGCAGGTCATGTGTGGCTTCTTCCTTCAGGGGCAGTGAAGGCCACCGAACCAGGCAGCCTACCTAACCCAACTACCAATCCCCTTTAACAAAGTGATGAGCGATCCCACTTTAAACCCATCCTTACAATTACTGAGCTGAAAAGGAGAACCCCAACCGACACACTGAGGCTGAAAGACATGTGCTAACCTTACCTGTTCTCCTGAGGCCACCCCACCAGGAGCTGGGGCTGCCTGCCTGATTTCGATCTTGTTGAAGGAGGGCTACAAGTAACCCCACCTTCTCTCCCTCTCCCCTTTGGGAAAAAAGCAGTCAATGAACAAGTGGGATAGAAAGGAGACATTAGGCTGGGCATGGTGGCTCATGCCTGTAATCCTAGCACTTTGGGAGGCCAAGGTGGGCAGATCACTTGAGGTCAGGAGTTCGAGACCAGCCTGGCCAACATGGCGAAACACTGTCTCTACTAAAAATACAAAAATTAGCCGGGCATGGTGGCACATGCCTGTAGTCCCAGCTACTTGGGAGGCTCAGGCAGGAGAATCACTTGAACCCAGGAGGCAGAGGTTGCATAGAGCCGAAATCATGCCACTATACTCCAGCCTGGGCAACAGAGCAAGACTCTGTCTCAAAAAAAAAAAAAAAGGAGGGAGGGAGATTTTGAAAATCGTGGCAACTTCTCCCCGCAACACCCATTGGTTGTTCTATGAAGAAATAAAGAAACCTGCCTGGGCTTCAGTATTCACATCTGGAAAATGGGCTCAACAATACCTAGAATATTGTAGGAAATAAAGAACCTAAATAAAATAGCAAAGGAAATGTAGAATCCAGCGATGTGGCTGTTTGAGGCTGTACCAACAAGTCATTGTCAAGTGACTGGAGGCTCTTGACACCAAGAGAGCCAAGGTTCGGGAAGCCGTGCTATCCCATCTTCCCAGGAAGCTGAGGAAGAACCCATGAAATGCCTTCAATAGGATTCCTGCATCAAAGTCTGTCTGAGACTCTTAGAGTTAAAAGCCACTCCCGGAACAACATCCTGAGGACTCGTAGCGGGTTCCCAAGACAGCCCCTTCAGAGTACTGGAAACTGTAAAGAGATCTTGAACTCCGCAAACGGACTTCTCCAAAGGGAGTGGAAAACCACTCCCACACCAGGCCTGGACCACTCCAAAGAGCTTCCTTTTCAACACCCAGAAAAGCAACAGGAGCCCCCCCACCCCACCACTGTACCCACCAGTCCCATAATGCCTCGCCCCTGGGCTTCCTGTGGAGGCCTCAACAGGTCCTCTGGAACCCCAGGACCAGCGCTGTGCCTTGGCACCCAAGCCCACCGCCTACCTGTTTTGGGGTCTACGTCAGCTGGTAAGTGTGGAGGTGGGTTTCCCGGCGTGAAGTGTTCATTGCTGTACGTGATAAGAGGCGTGAGGGGGTGGACATGGTGAGGGTGCTGCACCACCGGCACTTTGTTCGACTGTGGGGAGGAAAAAACAGAAAGACACCATCAAGCCAGTTCCAGCAGCCAAGGCTTCAGAGCACCGGGCCCGTGGGTTCCCCTGACCACGGCCTCCCACCAGGATTCTGTAAGACACACTCAACTCTGCCCGTCCCCAACTCCCCCCAGTCCACATGAAAATAATAGATAGTTGTAAGACAGCTCTCTGGGTGGACCCGCTTTAGTTTTTACTTCCCCACTGAGCCTGGCTTTTAAAATACCTTCTCCATTCCTACCCTATCATGGAGCCCAAGAGTCTGCACTTTTTCCCATTGGCAGGTGAGTCCGAAGTGGGGACTTTAATCTCCCAGGCCTATTGCGTTTCTGCATGTTGCGGGGGAACTCCTACCCTAAGGCCCCACCTCCAGGAGGCAGGCAGGTTACACAGGGGACCATCTAGGAAAACCACCGCTTACAAGAAACCCGGCAGGGCCCAAATCCCACCCAACCAGCACCCTTAGCAACCCCCCATAGCCCCTACCCCCTCCCTGCCCTTAGAAACAGCAGGCATGCTACAATCCTTCACAGACAGCATGGATAAAGCCCCACTCCTGGTTAGGGTGGGAGTGTGAACTTTACCAGAAAGCTCTAAACTGCCTGGCAAGCACCTGCATATTTTATGCAGATTACAGCAGCCCTCATTCATTACGAATTTCATTAGAAAGTCATCTGGGAACGCTAATACATTAACTGGATGATGATGAATTGAGCTAATAAAAGGTATGCATTTTAGAAGTGGGCAGTTCTAGAAAACAAAGTACAGGCATTTTTGTGTTTGGGAAGGGTGGGTCAGTGGAGAGAAGCAGGGGGTGGGGCGGGGTGAAGAAAAGCATTTTGAAAATGTTTCCAGTGGCCATGCCCAGGCTTTCCCAAATTATTCTCCTCTCTCCCCCACCTCCCGCTCAATCCACCCCTCCCCCTTCCACTATGCTGTGCTATAACTTAGCCCAGCAAGATCACAAAGAAAAAATTAAGCTGAAACAAGCGAACTACTGGGCCATTTACTGAGAGTAATCCAATTGCAAAAAACCCTATTCCCCATAGAGGATTTTCACTAAAATCCTACAACAGGGACATTTAACCAGATTAGGTACCAGCGAAGATAAAGAGGCAAGTATTAGATGATGAATGGATTAGAGTCAAGTTTCATTTCAGAACGTGTCTTCATTTCCTTTTATTACTTTTAGGAAGGCACAACTTGCATTAACATCAAGGAAAAGGAATTGCATTAAAAGAAAAGAAGGAAGGTTCAAGTGCTGCCCACTAGCGCCTGTTGAGTTCAGGGATCCCTCAGCAGTTACTTCTCCTTACTGTTTCTCTTCTTGTCCTTTTTTTTTTTTTTTTTTAATGGGTGAGGAAGGAATGTAATATAGGAACAGCATTTCATACCACAGGTGATTGAAGGGAAAGTATCTTTTTAAAAGTGCTTTTAAGTTTTTTGTGGGTATTTGTGGAAAGAAAAATAAGGTATTCTCTCTAGATGCTCCAGAAAACAACTACAGAAAAAGAAGGCAATGCTTCCAACAGCCTGGTTTACCGATTCCTATGTGCAACTAGACTCTTGGAGAAAAGGGATAGCAGGTTGCTCATACGAGCTTTGTGTTATAAGCTACCAAGCTGCAATCAAAGCAAGTAAGTTAAAAGCCACCAAAGCAGAGGGAGCTTTGGAAACCAGCAATACCTCCTTAGAAGGGGCAGCCATGAAGAGCTGGGCAGGCCACAGCCAGGGTGAAGGGCTGCTGCCCCACAGCCAGAGCCAGCAGCTCATGTTCAGGCACGGAGGATTCCTTAAGGGGAACATTTGATCAGGACAACTTGAGAATAAGGAACAAGCAAGCTCCTACTGTGTGCTGAGGTGGAGAGGGAAAAAAGAAAAAGAGAGGGAGGGAGAGAAAGAGACAGACACTGACAAAGTGAAGACCGTTAGGAGGCAAAGAAAATGAGTGTTGCTACCTTCTGGAAGTCTTCTCTTTGGTTGGAAAGACACATACCCAGTGACATGAGAGAATGCAGACCAGCTCCAGACAGTTTCAAGTGAGTATGAAAAAACACCAGAGCCAGTGGGGAGAATCATACATAGCCCAGAGAAGGGAAGATGACCACTCAGGGGTGGAAGGACTGGTCAAGTGCCGTGGGAACAGGACCACATCATCAATGAGAAGCAGCAAGGGGGTGTATCCTCATGGGAGGAGAAAGGGCTAGTGGTGGGCATCAGAAGTAGCAGTCAGCCCCGAGTCACACATCTCTCAGGATGCTTCTCATTAATTCAGATCCCCCAATCCTAAAAAATCTCTCAGGAGGGCCTGATTCATTCACACTGGGTCTGGGCTCAGGACCCAGGCATCTTGGGACCCACCTGCTGCTGGGTGTTGTGGGTGGTTCTTATGTTCAAAATGAGGACCACGTGTACAGGCAAGCACAGAGGTAAAGAGACATGAGTTCGGATCACGAATCAAGTCCTAGTTCTTAAGAGACTCAGAAAAAGACTTAGCACAGAACCTAGCACATGATAAGTTTGTGATTTATTATCTATTACAGTGGTTTATTATTGTTATTTTCATTATTAGGGAGCAGTTGTCCAGAAGACATGATCTGTGTCTTCAGCAAAGAAGCACAAATCCCACAGCTATCTTCTAAGCAGGACTAATAGGAGATGTGGGGAAAAAACCCTCTTGCTCTACTTTACAACAAAAGAGGAAGATAGCATTTGGGCATCAGTGGAGTTAACTGAGTGTGAGATTTAAAAATTAAGTCTCCATTCTTCTTAGATATACATATGAGGGTGATTCCAACAGAAGGTGGAGCCCTGTGTTCTGGCTACCAACACCTCTCTCTGTATTGTTTTGCACACCTAAGCCTAGCCAACTAGTTTTTTCCTGTTCAGTCAAAACTATATCATGGGGGTAGGGTGGGTTGGGGGTAGGAAACCGGAAGTTTTCAGTGCTGCCTGGCTTTTAGGGGAAAAAAAATAGGACCTGTACTATTTTTAGGTCCTATAGTACAAACTACAGGACTAGCCTTACTCCTTTCCAATCTCAACTGCATGCCAGGCAGGTCCCTGTGAAAGAACCGAACTTCCTCTCAAGTTCATGGGTTCTCTTGCAAGAGATGGGAACTCTGTGGTCACGCCTGCCAAAACCGGAAGTAATTGCGACTCCATCCAACCTGCCTCAATCCTCTTAGGATGGGAGGATTTTCTTCTTGCAAATGCCTGTGTCTCTCCAGCCTCAGACTCCAGAGCCCTTTCTTCCTACATCACATGGTGTCCATTGCTGGGGCTGTGTGTGTACCCTTCCTGGTCCCACTATACCTAAGTTCCTTAGGGACGAGGACTATGTCTTCTAGAACTGCGTGTCCCCCAAAGTGCCCAGCCAGTGGAATGGTGAGCACATTCTCCTCAATTGCATAAGATCCACCAAATTGCAACTGCAAGCATTAGAAGAGAAAGAAGAGTCAATCACAGATTCGTTTCATGTAAACAGCGGTGCTCTTTAAATGCAGTCTCCTTAAAATCACATAACAGAGCCTGGTGGTTCCTCTGGTCCACCCAATGCAACACCCTTGCAGACCCTATCTCAATTACAACTGTGCCTTTAAAAGGGTTTTTGGGTGGATCATGAGATCAAGAGATCGAGGCCATCCTGGTCAACATGGTGAAATGCCGTCTCCACTAAAAATACAAAAATTAGCTGGGCATGGTGGCGCGCACCTATAGTCCCAGCTACTCGGGAGGCTGAGGCAGGAGAATTGCTTGAACCCAGGAGGTGAAGGTTGCAGTGAGCCGCACCATTGCACTCCAGCCAGGGTAACAAGAGTGAAACTCCGTCTCAAAAAAATAAAAATAAAAATAAAAAAGTGGGAGGTTTTAGGGACAACTGGCATTGTACACAGTGATTCAAGAACTGAATTCAAGGAAGACCGGTGTTATAACTCTTCCTCACCAGCCCGGCTGTGTGACCTCTTCTCAAGACTTCCTTTCTGTCTCTGTCAACTCTGGATGAGAATCGTGTCTACCCTGTAGGGTTGTGAAAACTGAATAAACCTGCACATATGGTATTTAGCACAGTGACAGGCACAAGCTAAACATACAATACAAAGATGCTTTGAAAAATGCAATCCGATGAATACTAACGATGATGCTCTTCACTATCCCTCTAGCCTCCTCTGACTGAATTCACAGGGGGAACACACAGCCACGGATTCCACTCCCGATTTCGAAGGTAAGGATGCTTGTTTGCGGGGCAGGATTGTTCTAGATGATTAGTGGCACCCTCCTCAGGCACACACCCTTCTTCAACATGTGATATTTAATTAATCCATATATTTTAATATCACTTTGAGAAAAGTCATCACTGTATTATGGCAATAAATGAGACACAGAGGAGCTAAAAGCTTTGAAAAAAAAAAAAAAGGCAGCTGGAGATGATTGACCACAGTCCCTTCCAGGTTAGGGCAAAGGCCTTTAAGTAAGAGGTGACATAAACGAAACACAAAAGAATCCAAATAGAAAGATGGCCTCTTGGACATTCTCCTCTTTGAACACCTCCCACCTCTCTAAAGAGGTCTTTAAGAATTGTGTTCAAAACCCCACCACCCTAAGAAAATTCAGATGTGAGAAGTAACTTGGTTGCAACATAGACAGCCTTCCAGAAATGCATTCATGGCAATTCAATTAGCAGCCACTATCCATGCTGGGGGTGCCGGTGGGCTCAACAGCCTGCAGTACTGATTCCCTCCCTCCTACATCTCTTTAGAAACAGAGCCCAATGTGCAAGGGAAACAGCTCAACATAAGGTCAGGTGCCTTTTGGGGAACTATTTTACCTAAATAGGTCTTCAAAACCACATGGGGATACAAAATTATTACAGCCAGTGACATCGAACCCATGTTCAAGGTCATGGGAGCAATGGTCAAGGAGAGTTGTTTGACGAGCCTGTGTTGCTGTGTTGAACTCTTTGAAAATGTGGTGAAAACTGACC